ACAGTGGCAAATGCTAGTAACATGACGACAGCCAAATTGATGAGGGTCGAGATTGAGTTGATCAAGTGACAGCTAGAACTCACATATGTAGTGATAATTTGATAGTGAGTGATGATATAACGAATGTCAAACGGAGGACCCATGGATGGTAGCCTATTCAGTGAGTAGTCCCAGATGGTATGAGTACACCAATACATGGTGGTTGTAGACCTGCTTCGACCAGATGAAAGGCTGCTATGGCTACTCTCGCAAGTCCTAAACGCTGGGTGGCTGAGACTTTTATATCACTTTGTGGACCTTGCCAGTGACAAACTCATTCATCATCTAGCCTCCCATAGTTACCAGTATTACTGGCTCCCACCGATGTTGTTATCGTCCCAAAAACAGCTGATCTATCGCTGTGAACTGATTGACCAAGCTAGTAAATCAATTTTACTAGCAGAAGCACATTGGCAAAACAGTTACTCCCAATTGTGTCACTCACACCAAGTTGGACATAACGTGTGTGATTTACGTACGTTTGGGATCAAACGCTGGCGTGTGCCAGCAGTGCAAGCAAAGGGAAGAACAAAAGTAGAAAACGCAAAGAAACACAGTTTTGGGTGCCAAAATGTCAAAAAACGGCTGTGTCCTAGCTGATGCTGCGGCATCGAGTTCACAGACAGCGCTGGCCAGATTAGTGAAACAACCAGTGGTTGTATTGTGACAGATTTTATGTATCATTCATGAATATTCTCGCTGTATAAAACATGTTTGTTATTTTAGTTATTGTTTTTGTTATGAACACTTTTCTGACAACAACTGGTTACACTTGCAAGCCTTCAGTATTGTGGAATCACTTCAAACTAACTTTGTCCTAACTTGTTGTGTAACTATAGCAAAAATACCAAATCTATAGTGCAAGAGACAGAAAACGCTTCATCTTCCATTGTTTTTCAAAACAATGCTGGCAGTCAAAGGGTTAAGGTATAGGAGGAAATACGGAAATTGCGGCACAAATCTTAACGGCTCGACCTATGCTCTTAATATTCGTTATACTAGTGTGATGGGCAAGAAACCCATCACCAGTGCGCAGAATTGGAGGTCGCAGGTCCAATAGGCAGTGGGGAAATTGTCAGATATCAGACATTTTTGAAGGACAGGCTAATGGACAAGAGTGAAACTTTTGTTTCAGCGGGCGACCTACCATTTTATCACTTATGAAAGGACCATGAATTATGCTGCTTCACTGACGATGGCAAGAGTAAGTGTCTAGATAACCTTTTGACGCTCAAGAGGAGGTTAAACATGGATTCCTGACTGCCTCAATGCACGTCACAGTGTGTCCATATTCATGGCACATCCCATAATCTAGAAACGCCAATAAGGCCTGGATAGCCGAACACCGTCCAGCACAGATCTCTCTCACAAATAGAGGCCGTAAATCCTACTAGAACAGCAACGCGAATGGTAATCTGATGTGCATGTGGTTCCTAAATCGGCCGCATTGCTTGGTACAGCACTATACTGTACTACTAGTACTACCATACATTAGCACGCGAGCACGCCTACTGCCGCTGACTAGGGTGGCGTGCGGACTATTTACTCTTTACATCTATATACTAATAGTAATAAATACACTAATTACAAAACAAACAAATACAGTGTGTTACTATAGTCTTATAATAGATAGAACTAATAGTATTACTATTACTATTAGTATACTAATACTATTAGTAACAACTAGCCAACTAACTAAACAAAGTACAATTATAGCTAATAAATTATAGTACGTGATACCTAACGACCTGACTAGCTAATTGACCTGACTAGCGTAGCAAGTTACCATGGATAAACAGCTGTAGCGATAGTAAACTAAATAGTACTAGTACTAGTTAGTAATACTGCCCAAGGGCCAAGTTACCATTCATCCAGCGGCGGAAGAGCCGGCTCGTCACCATCATCAGTCAGACGACTCACTCCCCCATCAATATCACCAACTACACAATTTAGCATCGGTTCATACTCATACGGCAGAACCACTCCTTCACACACTTCCAAGTCATCGTTTTCCAAGTCAACAAAGTCATCGTTCTCAGCCATTTCGTAATCACCACAGAAGCGGATGTTCGCATGTGACGTCACACTGTAGTGTTTCCGGAATTACGATTTTTAAAATAGGAAGTCAGAACCCGGTTACATTTTCGTTGAAATAAGCATCAAAAACGCAGGATAAAATTATTAAAGTTGTTTAATATAATATATAAAGATATTTATCTGTCGAAATATGCCTAATATGTAGCTATTTATTTAACTGCGCAACTTGAACTTTAAGGATGTAGCTTGTTTTTGTAGTAGCATCTTCTCATCTTTCATTGGAACTCAGTATCCTGACGTGAAGCACTCGAACGATGTGTGGCACGTTGCAAAAAGAATTGGGGAAGAAGATAATTTCGGTATGTATTCCGAAATACTTCCCAAGTGTCACTAAACTTTACACGCAGTTTTAATTTAAACCTAAATTTCATTATAATGCAGAATAACAATTGCTTTTTGTAGTGCATTAAAAACAGCTACGATGTAATTTCTCAAATAGAATAAATAACTTTACCGGAACTATTGTTACATTTTCTTTTGTGATTGAAGGAGTTACAGCATACCATGGAGAACATTATATTTGTTTGTGAATTTCAGGCAGGACAACAGAAAGGATGCGAATCCTTGCTGAAATGGGCTAGAGACATCATCAACCATTTCTGGTTTACGTGTCAACAAGCGCAGACGTATGCCGAGTTCCTGGTAAGTAGTCTTAAAGTTACCTAGACACTATTTTGAGTTGAATGTTGCTTATTGTTATAGTGCTGAAGTGTCTGGTACACACAAGGGCAAACTTTGGCCCGTGGGCTGGATGCGACCCGCGAAGTACTTTAATCCGGCCCTGGACACTTTATCAGATCAACAATATGTTGGCTAAATCGAAGCAGTTTTACAATTTTAAAACAGTAGTGTACAGTACTTGCCTGTGTGTTCCAAATGTTATGCAATCTTCTTCATGTCTATGGTTTCCCTGCAAATCAGTGCAAATGAATAATTTTCATGTTTCATATCAATTTTGCAATGGTTGGCCCCCGGTTTACTTTCTTCTGTTCAATGTGACCTATGGGACAAAAAGATTGCCCACCCCTGGTCTAGTATCATGCTAGAATACGTTTTAGTTATGGCGAATTTATGATTGCAGAACATATGGAGAAGCTTACTTAACCATGTCGTTAATGAGCACCACTGGATTCTGCCCCATGGGCAAGGAACAAACAAGTGCCAGCATGGACCACTGAATGATGAGCGGGACAAACTGTGGCTGGACAGAAAGTCAGACTACCAAGCGTTGACAATCCTCGCCAAGATCGTTCTGGACAAACGGTTTCTCAACAGAGTCAGCTAGGTGCTGAAATTTAGGTAACGTGTTTGCTCTCCCAATATTAAAGGTGGCTGGGTAAATTTTGAGTAATGTTCGTTTTGATTGATTTACATGTCTTTTACAATAATATTTTTCTGCCTGATTAACAGAAGTACATCTGCATTGGAGGTCTTCCATAATCACATACTAATGTACTGAAGAGGTTCGCATATACACCATCAGTCTATAGGGCACGCAACCTATTGGCAGCATTGGACCACAACGTTCATTTAGACCGGCCATTGCTGAATAACAAGGAAGGCAGCGTTGTGTAAGTAAATGTTCTTGTGAGCATAATTGCAATTGTCCTTACTGTATACAGACATATTGACAGCATTGTTGCATTTTTTACCATAACTTGTACACTTGTGAAGTAAGACTTTCCGTGCAGTTAAAAATACTACAGAACAAAACATGTTTGAATAACTTTTCTTAAGATACGCACGACATTTATTACAACAACAAAAGTGGGAGGTCGACGGCTTACCCGTGCAAGGTAAGGAAGACATACCCGCACATTAGGACTCATTCATTCACCAGGCATTGCTACGAAGAATCAAGGACAAAGTTGGCATGCACGGCCAGTGTGTTTGGCCAGCTGATGACCCCCAACGGCTGTCGGAACATCTCGCTCAAATAGCACCACCAGCGACAAGTCAGCTTGTGGAACAGCATGCCTCGCAATTTTACAATGGAAATTAGAGTTGTGTGGTGTGGTATAACTTCAGGATAATCTGTCAGCTAAAAAGCCAGTGTATTGTCCAAAAGCGTCTGGAAATTTGACTCTAATTTTCCATACACAGCAAGATAGAATGGTCATTCTTTGACCGGCACCTAAACGACCATGTTGCCACAATACGAACTGACGATATGCTGCATGCCGGTTAGCTATCAGTAGGTCGTCGTCTTCAGCTATAACCAGAACATGTTGTCTATATATAACCGGTTGGAAATCAGGTATCATTGCCGTCGATAGGTGGCAGCACGTGATTGTCGCTTGCGGGAATGAGCTCACGGATTCGCGCGCAAAGCTCACTTCGGCTGTAGGAGACAAGGGGAACGGAGCTATGTAAAATCGGAATCAGGAGTAGAAGGACGTAGTCTCGGTAAGCACGACTGAAAAGGACACCGCTCTGTCTTCTCTCTCACGTTTTCTTCGCAATAAAGAAACCTCGTACAGTGTAGTTGTGGGTTCAGTGGTTTGTTTGTGCAGCATCCTATTGCCAGCGCGTGGCCTGTACGCTCACCACATTTTGGCGCAGTCGAAAGGATTCCTGCAGTCGAAGTCACAGTGTACGAGAGAGGGAGGGAGAGCGGTAGAAGAATATGCCAGGAGGACGAAGTACGGATGGGACTGATGCAACGATCAGCCAGCTGGAGATCAGCCTGGTGGTGCCCCGAAGGAGCCCGCTGGACAAGCGCTGGAGGATGTGCAGGGCTTGGTCAGAAAGCTGCAGGATGACCAGAAGCAAGTCAGTGAAACCATCGATCAGCTGGGGTCTAACGGGCAGCAGCCTCCTGCTCCTTCTCTGGTCTACCTTCCCGTCTTCACGGGCCATGGTCAGGGACAGCCCCCAGTGGAGGAGTTCATCCTTGGCGTGCAGCACCTGCTGAAAGCCAGGAGGCTTTCGGGGATCGAGGAAGCAGACTTTGTTCTGAATCATCTGGGAGGACCAGCGCGGCAAGAAACCCTGCTGCGTCCACATGCCCGAACAGCTGAGGAGGTCTTTGGTACTCTCTGTTACGTCTTTGGGCAGGTGCGGTCCATACCTCAGCTGTTGCGGGCCTTCTATGACAGAAGGCAGAGAGGTGCTGAAAGTCTTAGTTAGTACTCATATGAACTCTCCTCCCTGGTGAAGGTCAGGGCCAGGGACAATCCGGCCTTCTCTGCCTATGAACAAGCTCTTCGTGACCAGTTTGCTGAGGGAGTGCGGGACACTCAGCTTTGGCGCCACTTAAAGCAGATGTTCCGGGAGAGACAGAACATAAACTTCCTCGACCTCCGTGAGGAGTCTGTAGCGCGGATGGAGAACGAGCGGCAGCAGGCAACCCCTAGGGTCACGGGTTGTCACCATCTACTGCGGGACTCCCCCCAGCACCCTTCTCTGCTATGCCACGCGTCGACCCATCACGCTGAACTCGGCCAACGTTTCCATCGCTGGCTGCATGCAGATGGATCTGTTTCTGCAGGCGCTGCAAGAGACGTGCAAGGGAGATGGGTTTCTCGACCGATTTCTGCTGGTATGCCCCATGCCGGTGCTGCCAATGCCACAAGAGACTCTAGAAGATGCAGCCCAGTTCACCGCCACCGGATATCACAACCCAGCACGCATCGCGATAAAACTGTACGAGTGCCATCATGACCTAAAAGACGCCGACGAAATTGACTATACTTTCTGCCCCGATGCCGAGCAACACCTCACTAACATCATCACGGCCGCACGTATCAACTTCAACGAGCAGGTCAGCCCTCTGTTGACCCTCTGTTGCCTAATTTTTTGGCCTCTGTTGCCTGTTGCTGTTGCCATTTGGAATTTTTCTAACATTTGTCCATTGCCTGTTGCCACTGTTGCCTGATGTGTACCCCCCCCCCCAATCACAGTACGTACATAGTTCAAAAGTACTTTCTTTTTCAGGTGTCGCCGTGACTGCTTGAACTCCTACATCCCTGCTGGGAAGGAAACCATTCTCAAGAACGTTAACTCAATAGGTGAGCAGAATGGACAGGATGCCTATCTCTATGGCCTCACACCAGATACCGAGAAGGGGACCGAAAAGAGCTGAAGCTAAGATACAGCGGTCATATCAGTTTTACTACAAAGTAAAACTAGGCGAGGATGAGAAAGTCGTTTGTCGTGAAGCCTTTGGCAGTCTTCATGGCATTGGTACAAAACGAGTTCGCAGGATTTGTGAGCATATTGCTGAAGGACGAACCCCAAAGGATCAACAGCCATCGTACTATCAGTGATGAGCTTAAGGATAATGTTGACCAGCACATTAGGAAATTTCCTTACCGTGTTTAACATTATGGAGTGACAGGCAAAAAAAACGCTATCTGTCTTCAGAACTCCAAACTTCACAGTCACAAAAATGTACACACTATTCTTAGAGCTTTGCTACCGAGAAAAGTATATTGAATACAAGAGCGGTGTTGAACCATCCACAATAGACTGTGAAGTCAAGTTTCGCTTCTATTATGACCACTTCAATGGCAACTTTAACTATGGCTTTGGTAGACACCGTTCAGATGTGTGTTGTTAATGTACCCGACTTGATGCAAAAATCAAAGTAGAGAAAACTCCTGCAGTGAGAAAGGCCCTTGAAATCCAAAAGCATCTTCATAAAAAGAAGGCTTCTCTTTTTTATGAGAAAATGAAAGCGTGTAGGGTAGTTGCAAAAGCACAGCAGGATACGGATTGCATCTGCTTTGATTTTAAGCAGAACATTCCATTCCCCCACCTGCCCGCTGGTGATGTATTCTACTCACGCCAGCTCTGGCTCTTTGTTTTTGGTATAAATTCTGCCAAAATCGGCAATGTAAAATGTACACCTGGCATGAAACTCAAGCTAAAAGGGAAGCAAATGAGGTTATAAGCTGCCTTGAGCACTTCATTACTGAGTATGTACCTAAAACTGTGAAAAAGCTCTTCATTTTTACTGATGGCTGCCGGGGAGAGAATCACAATAATATAATGC